TTATATTTTGATATATTTTAGTATTTTTTTTTCTAATTTGACTCATTTTGGCGTACAACAATAAATTATGATTTAATTTTTAATTTTGTTTACTATTGCAACGTCAGTGTAACGTTAAATTTATTTTATTTTAAAATAAAAATTTTAAAGAACAGTTACAATATTTACATTAAAACAAAAATATATTATAATTTAGTATATAGAAAAAATTTTCAAATAACTTTATTTACTTTAAATTCCACTTTGATTGTTTTAATCACTGTGCATATAATTTATTCAGAAATAGTAAATTATTTCTTTAAAAATTTATAAATTTTTTTTTTTTTAATAAAAAATCGTGCATAAAGTTATAATGCTGTGGAAAAACTTGTTCGGAGATAATTACAAAATTTTATATAGACCCTCGGATACACAAACAGGTTTTTAAGACCTGTAATCTTGTCGTTAAATGAATCAATATATATTATTTTATGGCTATTATTAATATTCTCGTTCATTATAATATAAATCATTCATAGGATATGTATTTCACAAGTGATGAAGTACATTTTTATGCTTAAAGTCTTCTTTTTTTTAATATTTAAACACGGTTGAGTAAAATTTAAAGTACTAAACTATTAATTTTTTTCTTTACTTTTAATTTCTATTCGATTTGAAAAATAAAAATTATTTTAAAGTCATAAATAATAATTATTATAAACTAATTTAAGTAAAAATTTTTATTAAAATTTTTTTTTTTTATTAACTAAAAAATTAAGATAAAATTATTTTTTTAAATCAATGTAAATCAAGAAATATAAAATAATGGTCAATTTAATAATAATAATAATAATAATAATTTTTCGATCATTTCGTTTAAAAATAACTGAAATTATTGCTAATAATGTAACAGTCTGTTAACCAATTAAAAGTGAAAAAAAAGTAGTATTTCTCGTGGTAATTATCGATTACCTGTTTCCAGTAACGAGTCGTCACACACATCTATATAGGTATATATATTTGAATTAAATTCGTATCTGTGTAACGATTTTAACCAATTTTGATGAACAAGATAATCAAAGGTAGTTGTTCTAGGGACCATCGAATGATCGTTTTGGTCAAAGCACCCTCGAGCTACATCGACTTGGTTCAATTATATATATGAAACGTTTGGCAATGGCTGTAAATTTTCTGGGAACCAGTCGTTGATTGGGGAACCTTTGAAGTTACTATTCCACTTTTCTCATATCTGATTGTATTTTTCCAATTGATGTTGGAATTCTGAAACTCGCTCATATATTAGGTATATTTTTTTTTCAACTTCAATTTATATATTATACGATGGACGACCTTACAAATAAGACAAGCTGCATGGTGATGAATATCAAAAGGCGCGATGTCGATTTTTATAGTAATTCAAAAATTGCTTTGTGAATGTAAAGAGATAGAAATTCTATTTGTTTTTTATATTTTTTTTTATCTTTGTGATAGAAAGAGATTAATGTATTCTATCTTTATCGATACTTTTTCTATTTACGCTTTAATCTCTATCTATCTCTTCTTCTATCTTTTGATTTTTTGACCTTCTATACTTATAATTAATTCCTCTACTTTTCATTTAATTTCTTTTTGTCTGTATTTTAAATTTTAATATAAGTAAACACTTGTCTCTTTTTATATCTTTTTTTATTCTATATTCCCTTTCTTTTCAAATCTATCTTTTTTTCTATCCCGATCTGTTTTCTATCTATTCAAGTCAATCTCATCTTTATCTCAATCTATTCCCTTGTCCTTCAAATCAATCTCTTTTTATCTCTTTTCTATCCCGATCTGTTTCCTTTCTATTCAAGTCAATCTCTTTTTTAATTCAATCTATTCCCTTGCTCTTCAAATCAATCTCTTTTTATGCCTTTTCTATTCCAATCTGTTCCCTTTCTATTCAAGTCAATCTCTTTTTCATCTCAATCCATTCCCTTGCTTCTCAAATCAATTTTTTCTAATCTCTTTTGTTTCCCAACCAATTTCCTTTTTCTTTAGATTCAGATTTTTTATCCTTTTTTTTAATTTCTTTTCTATCTCAACCTATTCCCTTCTTCTTGAACTCAATCTCTTTATATCTCGTTGTTATCCTAATCAATGTATTCTCTACTCTTTCTATTTCCTTCATTTTATAACAAATTCTCTTCTTTTTATTCACGTCAATCTCTTTCTATCTCTTTTTCACCATCCAATATTTTAATCTTCTTTATTCTATCTTATTCTATCTTTTTATTATCCATTCAATTTTCTTTCTATTCTCCAGATTAATTAAAGCAGATTCTTATCTATTTTTTTCTCTAGTTTTATCCCAATCAATCTCCTTCATATTTAAATTAATCTCTTTGTATATTTTTTTCATCTTCTTTATTCCATCTCATTAAATCTCTCTACTATCCATTATTTTCATCTTTTTTTTTAATCCCCTATTTCTTGCTTATTTAATATTTATAATTTTCATTTTAATTTCCTTTCATCTCCATTATCATCTCCTGCTATCTCTTTATATATCTTTATATCTCTTTTTTCCTATATTTTTTAAATCCCCTATTACTATTTTTTTTAATCTTTATTCTATTAATTTCAATCTCTTTTTATCTCCATTTTATTCTTTTTCTACATCTTTCTATTTCTTAATATCTCCTTATACCTTTATCTTTATCTTTCTCTTTCTATCTCTTCTTTCCTTTATCATTTTATTCCCGTATTTCTATCTTCTTTAATATTTATTTCCATCTTCTTTTATCTTTATTCTAATATCTTGCTATCCCTTTTATATATCTTCTTGTCTCTTTATGTATCTTTCTCGCTCTATTTTTTAATCTCCTATTTCTGATTTCTGAAATCTTTATACTATTTATTTCAATCTCCCTTTATCTCCAATTATCTCTATCTGAATCTATTTCTTCATCTTTCTATTTTTTAATATCTCCTTATACCTTTTTCAATCTCTTTCAATCTCTTCTTTCCTCTATCAATTTATTCCCCTATTTCTATCTTCTTTAATATTTGTAATATTTATTTCAATCTCCTTTTATCTTTATTCTAATATCTTGCTATCCCTTTTATATATCTTCTTGTCTCTTTATGTATCTTTCTCGCTTTATTTTTTAATCTCCTATTTCTGATTTCTGAAATCTTTATACTATTTATTTCAATCTCCCTTTATCTCCAATTATCTCTATCTGAATCTATTTCTTCATCTTTCTATTTTTAATATCTCCTTATACCTTTTTCAATCTCTTTCAATCTCTTCTTTCCTCTATCAATTTATTCCCCTATTTCTATCTTCTTTAATATTTGTAATATTTATTTCAATCTCCTTTTATCTTTATTCTAATATCTTGCTATCCCTTTTATATATCTTCTTGTCTCTTTATGTATCTTTCTCGCTTTATTTTTTAATCTCCTATTTCTGATTTCTGAAATCTTTATACTATTTATTTCAATCTCCCTTTATCTCCAATTATCTCTATCTGAATCTATTTCTTCATCTTTCTATTTTTAATATCTCCTTATACCTTTTTCAATCTCTTTCAATCTCTTCTTTCCTCTATCAATTTATTCCCCTATTTCTATCTTCTTTAATATTTGTAATATTTATTTCAATCTCCTTTTATCTTTATTCTAATATCTTGCTATCCCTTTTATATATCTTCTTATTGTCTCTTTATGTATCTTTCTCGCTCTATTTTTTAATCTACTATTTCCGATTTCTGAAATCTTTATACTATTAATTTCAATCTCCATTTATCTTTATTTCAATCATTTTTTTTCTCTTTTTATTTCTTTATATCTCTTTCTTTTCTCCTCTATCTTTTTTAATATTTATAATATTCATTTCAATCTTCTTTTATCTTTATTCTAATCTCTTGCTTTCACTTTTATATCTCTTTATGTCTCTTTATATATCTTTTTCACTCCATTTTTTTAATCCATTATTTACATCTTTTTTAATATCTCTTTTTATATAGTTCTATCTCTTTCTATATATTTCTATTTCTTTATATCTCTTTTTCCCTTTTTTTTATAAATTTTTTTATTTGAAATAGGATATCGAGCCCATAGTCGAAAGACAATTAAAGGGCAAATACATTTAAATAGAATGAAGATAACAAAGATAATTGTATAATAAAATAATCTGTAAATAATCAAAAAAAAAAAAATATATTTGATCAATCTTAAGAACAAAAATAAAAAGTAAGATCCTAATTAAAATTCTAATACTAATACTTATAAAAAGAAAAAAAAATTATACATTTTTGAATAAACTTATATTTAACGTCGAGTAACGATATAATTTTTATAAACGCTCTTGAAAGTATTTAGAGATATTCTCTGTATACATTAAATGAAGTTGTATAGGACAGAGTTCTTTTGAATTTGCAGAAGGAGAAAGCCATGTTTCAGTTAAAATAAAAATATCCCCTCATAACAAAAGGATATCCCTAGGATATCCATAGGATATCCATATCAATGGTCGATATCCTAGAATGGTCCCCATGATATCTTGGGATATCCATAGAATATCCCTGGGATATCCAAACCGCCGGTCTGTGGGACATCAACAGGACATCCATAGGATATCCCTAAGACATCCACAAAATATCTATTAGATATTATATCGCAGGATATACATGGGATATCCTCAGGATATCCTCAGGATGTCCTTGGGATATTCTTAGGATATTCACGGGATATTTAATATCTCAACATATATTTTAAAGGTTAAAATTGTTAAGCTAATATAATGAATAATAATATAATAAAAACAAAAATCTTATGAGCTTCTAATTTATTTTAAATGAAGATTTGAAACGCATCTTTCAAAGTTTTTAAATAAACTCATGCACTTAATGTATAATTAATAATAATAGTCATTCGTTATTTGCGGGGAAGAATTTATATTGTTTAAAGCCAATTTATTTTCTGACAATATTAGGCATATGAATAAAGGAATGAATCACGAATGAGAAAAAAATTAGTTAATAATTTTTCAAATTAAACAACTTTCTCGAAAAACAAGTTGCATTTTATTTTATTTACATAAAATTTAATTCACAAAATATTCTCACTCGTAGTCTCATAATGACTTTAAAAATAGTATCCTGAGAATATCTTCTTGACATCCAGAAGATATACTGAGAATATCCTGACGATATCTATGGGATATCTGGAGGACATTTATGAAAGTCTATAGAGATATCCTGTGGATATCCAAACCGCCGATTTTTTTGATATCCTTAAGAGATCCTTTTGATATCCAAAGGACATCCCCAGGATATTTGCGGGATATTATCAATATATCCCAAGATATCTTGTGTTATTAGGGTCCTATAAACAAAAATCATGGAAAAGCTTCAATTTGAGATATTTGTGTATTAAGGCCACGAACATTCTGGTAGTAAAAGTTGAAAACAAAATTTATAGGCCGAGATGTTATATTGAATGCTGTTTCTTGATGATAGTAGAGATTCCCTTGATTTAACGGATTACTAGATCTGTTTCTCCATACTCTTGATTCGTTCGTCCATTATCAATTTTTAAATTCCTTTATCTTCTTCAATCATCTATTTTCATATTTTTTAATAATTATATTATTCATTTCTATCTTCTTTTTTTATCTCTATTCTAATCTTTTTCTATCCATTTTGCAAATTTAAATAATTATAATTCTATTCCTCACTCAAACCTCTTGTATCATATGTTAATCTCCTTCCTTCCCTCTCCTGTCCTGCTCGCTCGGTACTCCAATAAGTTTCTTCGCTTTTTTTTTTAATTTCTTTCATGTAGTTTTTTTTTTGCAAGTGAGCCGTTATACTAAAAATAAAAAGATATTAAAATTTTCTACAAGAGGATTGAGTAAATGTTAAAATCACGTTAAAATTATAGCAAGAAGATAGAATTAAAAAGAGAAAGTGATAAAATTTATAAATATTAAGGGATGAAATAAGATATAGAAGGAAAATAAATATAGAAAAAGAATAAAATTCTCAAAAACGTGATAGAAGAAGAGATTAAAATAGAAATTTTTTTCAATAACTAAATAACAAAAGGGGTTTAAAAAAAATTAAAATTAACAAAAAAGGAGATTATAACATTTTTGAATATATGCAATTAGAAAGAAATTAAAAAGAATTTTCCTCTTTCTATATCACCATAATCTTATCTCTTTTTATCTTTTCACTTCCAGTAAGGATGAATTCTGAATGAATGTAAATAAGAACCGGAAATGTAATAAAAATACATCATTGTTAACGATCGTTGTAATTAGATTAGCTAAGAAAGAGAACAAAACGAATAAAATGAAAATCCTGAGAAAATGCCATGTCGCCTTTGCAGTTAGTTGCCAATGACTACGTAGGTCGCCGTATCTTAGGCGCGGTTCTTGCGTAATGCAAAAGTGAACGAGATACTTACTCATTACACGAATACAGAAACCACACACACTCACACACACATACATATGAGAAAATGCTTATATTCGCACAAACTGAAGAGTTTCCTTATATAAATGCGCTAATTTTCGCTTAGAAGCATTTTCTTTAACCTTAGCCTCTTCGTTCCCATGATTCGCAATGTGTTTAACCTCTTGAATTATTATTTTATTATTATTATTATTATTTTACTCAGCTATTGGAATTTTTTTCCCTTATCTATATACATATAACGCAGTTGGGGGTTTTTGTGTTACACAATGAGAAATAAATATATTTGTGCCAGTTGTTAAATAATAAAAATGTCAGAAATTCTATCCTATAGCAATATTGATTCTATTAATAAAACTTTCTGACAGGCACGAGGTATTCCAGTGTAATCCACCTCCGCCTATATAACACACAACCACGCTCACTCACGATTGCCTCTATACATAATCATATTAATACTGTATATATATATATATATATGTGTACGCATATATATCTACATTTGCGAATATACATATATAAATACTTTCGCGGTCTGCGTTTCATTTACATAATGTTGCCAATGCAGGAAATGTCGACTGGTGGTCGTGAGCGCACTTTTGTGGCACCACAAAAGTTTATTAACCTCTAAAAATAAAAAAAAAAATTTATTTAACACGTCAACTTTGGATAGCTATACTTCTAATGGAACACTATATATATTGGAGGTCGATTGCGTAACATTTTACACTTCCCGTTTGTGCGAAATTCTATATGTAGTGTGATGGAATTGTTTTTTTTTCTGCCAATTTTAAAAGAAATTTCCAAATTTACCCCAACCCTCGGGGTAATATTGGAAAATAAATGAAAATGCATTTTTATTTTTTATATAGTAAAAATTGAAGAAAACGTTCTGAATGTTCACTATACGTTTTTGGGGTTAAAAATTTTTTGTCAAAGCAATTTTTTTTATGAAAAAAGGAAATACATTGTTTGTTCCAAACTTACCATGGTAGTGGGGCAAAATACATTTTTTTGGATAAATAAATTTTTTGAAACACAATTTTCAGTTGAATTGCAAGTACATACGCTTTTTTAAAAATTAAAGATGAGTTAATTCCGCATCGACGCAACGAGAGACAATTAAAAAAAATTATTTTGAGTTTTATTTATTTAGCAATTTTTATCTCGTGATATCTCATGGAACGGAAATTTAAATATCCCGGGCAGTATGTCCCACGTGGGATTTATACCCGCGCATGCATAGAAAGCAAACAGGTGATTACGTTTCAAAATGTCGGACAGCACCTTGAAGTGTCAACATGTGTCAGCCAACACGTCGTTTATTTTTTTTAAATTTTGATTGATTTTCACTCTAAATAACATTATTTTTTATTGTGTTTTGGTTTTTGTAGTAAATAACATAAAATTTATTGAAATTGTTAATATTTTTCGTGATATTATAAGTGATATGTAGAATTACGCAATAATGGCCGAAAATTTTTCTCTAGGTATAAAAATTGGTATTTAATAACCTGGCGCAACTTCAGGTAGACGCGACAATTTCAGGTTGTGCGTCGGGAAATGTTTTGTTTCATCAAAATCGTGCAGTACATTTATTTAAATAAAAGTTTTTTTTAACAAAATAATTTCAAAATAAATATGTTTTTTTTTTAGTGGAATTTGTGGGGTAAATGACGGAAATTTGGATATCCCTTTTGATATTCCAGGGATATCTAATACAATACACTTATTGTAAATTTAGTTAAAAAATGGAATTCATAATTTTCTCCCATTAGAAAATATGAAATAATTTTAAAGATTAAAATAAAATGCCTCACGTTCATATTTGCCTCGAGCGCCATTTCATTTGAAGCTGGTCCTCGGATTTGCAAAATAAAAAAACTGGTATAAAGGATAATGTTATATGTATAGATTATTGAAACCTAACTTTTTCACTATGGGATACGATTTCATTTTTTAAAAACAATTGTTCAAACAATTTATAAAAATATATACTTCAAAAGAAATAATGATTTATTGCAAAATATATTAAAATTTTATTCAATACTCCAAATAATATATAGTCAATTCTCATTTTACTTTTTCTCTAAAACAGAGAGAGAGAGAACAGTCTGCTAATAAAATTATTAATATTCATCGCAAAAATTTTCAGCAAAACAACACTTTTTTTCTGATACTAAATCGAATTTTTTACTTTGTCGCATTTAATTTTAATGGAGAATAATTGAACTTTCAGAATTTTTTTTTTTTTTTTCCCTACCAAGAATGTTAAAATGGATGGTGATTCTTTTTTTTTTACTCCTGTTTCTTTAGTGAAAAATAACCGATGATTAGGAAAGAAATTGCTTAGAGAAAACCTGTATTGCGAAAAATTGGAAAAGCGAGAAATTCCATTCGTGGAAGCATTTGCCTTTCTTTAATACTGGATGGTTGGAACAATTTTACAGTTTGTCCTTGGCTCTAATGACCGGAAGATGAATCGAAAAAGTTCCTCGACATGGTTTATGTATGTGTGTGTTAGCGTTCATAGTAGATATAAAAATGTGCTCGCGGGTAAAAGGAGTCGATTACTAATAAGCCAAAGTATACTTAATTCTCAATTGCACCTTTTCCTAAATTGACTTCAAGACTCCACGGTGGCGGCGACGACGTCAGTTTTTTTTCTTTTTTTTTTTTGCGAGACTCCACTTTATGGCCTGTAATCGTTTTCAACGCTTATAGGACCTCAGTGAGAATGGCATGAGACGGAGATTGCTCACTACATGGAATTTAGGTTCCTTCTCAAATAACTTCTTGGCAATTTATTAACTCTCGATATGTTCTACGACATTCTTAAATAAAAAAAAAACCTCTTTATCAAAAAAATAAAAAAAATTCTCATTTTCTTTCGAAGGGAAAAACAATAAAATTTCTTTTTTATAAAAAACAATATTCCTAAAAAAAATTAGTATCGTGAATTTCTAATCGAACAATAAATAACTACTTTTAACTGAAAATAAATTTCCATATTTGTGTAAAATACTGAATCTTATAATTTGTAAAGTTTATATTTGCAGAAATGGCTCTGGGGGAAAATAATATATTTTTCTTTTGTATCGACAAAGTGTCAATTCCCTTTAAAACTGCGTAACTGTCCCTTTCACGACACGTTACACTTTATTAACCACTAATTGAAGGGTGAATGTGCACTCCTCTGCGACTATATAGAACTGTCGTCTTTTGGGAGTGAAAATTACTCACTAGCTGTCAAATAGAATAGCAACTGCTTTGGACTATGTACTGAGAGTTTTAATAACGATCTCTCTCTCTCTCTCCCCACAGCTGAACAGGCTAATATTAATGTCGTGCTTTGAGAAGTTGGCGATACATATAGAAACCACCTTCACATATACATATAGACGAATGTATTACGGAACCTCGAGAATATATGTAGCGAGTGATGTAAAACATGTCAGATAATTAGATATGTTCCCCTGCACTTTCGATTCATGTAAAAATGACGGAATTATGAATTTATAAAATACTGCAATAAAATTCAACATTCTGGATTTATTTTTTCATTATCATTATATTAAAATTAAAAAGCTTTTCAAAATTAACGAAATTCAAAAATATTTTATTAATATTAAAAAGTGCAACAGAATTTAAAAACTATTTCATTATAACGGGAAGAAAATCCCAAAGTTATATAATTAGAATAAAAAAACCTAGGGGTAAATCCTTAATTTCAGAAATTGTTCTCATCATCATTATATTAGAATCGTTATTAAAATTAAAAATTGCAAACATAATTCTAAAATATTTTATCATTACGGGAGAAAAGAATACCAAGTTAAGAAAATTAGAGTCAAAAATCTAATTCTAAATTCCAAAATTATTCCCATCATCATTATCAGATTCATTATTAAAATTAAAATGTGCTAGAAAATTCAAAAGGCATTTTAACATTACGGGGAAAAACAATTCCAAGTTTAGAAACTTAGAATCAATAAATTAATTTTAAATTCTTAATTCTATAATTGTTCTCATAATCATTTTGCATCATTATTACAATTAAGAAGTGCTATAAAATTCGAAAAGCATTTCATCATTACGAAGAAAAAGAATCCTAAGCTTAGGAAATTAGAATCAAAAGCCCAATTCTAAATTCTTAATTCCAGAATTATCCTCATCTTCAATATTAAAATAATTATAAAAATTAAAAACTGCTACGAAATTCAAAAGCATTTCAACGTAACGTAGTAAAATTTCAAGGTTGAAAAATTAGAATCTGAAACCCAATTCTGAATTCATAATTCCAAAATTTTTCTCATCATCATTATCAGAATCATTTTGAAAATTAAAAAGTGCTACAAATTTCAAAAAGCATTTCATCATTAGAATTGGAATAGACAATTAGAATTGGAATATCAATTTCTAAATCGTTAAATCCACAATTATTCTTATCATCATTATCATTATTGTTAAAATTTAAAAAAGTGCTTCTATTTTACCATAAAGTATTTTAACTTTAGGATATCAGAAATACAATTTTAAATCCTTAATTTCAAAATTATTTCCATCATCATTATCAGAATTATTATTATTATTATTATTATCTTATAATAATCTTCGTATTCATTCCTTCAATCATTCACATTTTCTTAGCACTTGAAATTTCTCGTTATTATTAGATTATATATACATTTATATCTTTGCTTTGATAATGAGGGTTCTCGAGGGTTTTTACCTGCAATTTGTTTCCTCAAAAACAGCCTTCGATTGAGGGTTTATTTTCTATTATTGTTTATATAAGATGGTCGATGATCGTTTAATTACTGTCCTGTAAGGGGAAGTGGTGTCCCTCATCTTACCAGCCGCGCCCGAGCTATAACCATGTCGTTATATTGGAGAATCAAAATTAAGAAGAAAATCTTTGGTGCCAGCACCTTTGGGTTAAATTGGTTTGAAACATATCGTATAGGTTTATTGTACCAAAATTATAACGCACTTGACAGATTTTTTTTGAAATTTTTCTTTAGTCATTAGTCCTTTTTGAGAGACTCACCCAAATAAATTTTCTAAAGCAGGAAACTGAAATGGAAGATTTGTTTTGAAAAGCGACTTTACCAGGAGCTTAAAATTTGAAGAAGGTTACCATGTCGAACATAAAAGAGTATTTTATTTTAAGTAATAAAGATTTTTAAATTATTGAATATGTAAATGAAAATTTAAAATATATGCATATGTATAAATTTTAAAAATGATTGAGAAAAGATACAAATTATTTTTTCATTATGCAAAGTACTTTGTATTTACAAATGCTTCATTTAATTTTTCCAATTAAAGAAGAAGTTAAACATATTCAAATAGTTTTTAGTGGTAATACGATTTTGGTTATTGGATTTGTGTCTATTACGACGGAATAAAACTTTATATTTTTGAAAGTCTTAATGCAGGGTGTTTGAATGTTCTTCCAAGTATAATATTTAATTAGATTGTTCCCTTTTCAACCAACAGTAGTTTTTGAAACTTTTGATCAACAACCGATTGGTACAGTTAAGTGTGAAGTACATGAAATAACATTTGCAACATCTGTATTGGTTAATAGTGTAAATTAAAAGATTAATTTATGAAACTGATATTAATATAATGAGCAAGCATTTGATAATATTTTTTTGAAAACAATTAATTAAATCATTCTCCGGCAGTTGGAATGTCTAATATTAGGATTTCGATTTGTAGAGAATGATTGGAATTGTCTTTTCATAAATCGAGCTAAAGAACTTAAAAATGGTGGTCGAAACCTTTCATATTTTTGTAAGACTTTTGCCAGTAAAAATGACAACAGAGTTCTGTCTACTGAAACTAAGAATGAAAAGTAAATACCCAAAGAAAAAAATTTGTCATGTAAGATAAAGAAATTATCTACAGAAATTGAGGAGGTATTTACATGTTGATATAATTTCAGTATGCACAACAGAAAATAATGAGAAAATAATTTCGAGTCTTATTGTTAGTGAAAATTTTGATTCTATGACATATCCTACAATGTTTCCTTATGGTGATCCTGGATGAACTGTTAACCTGAAGCATACTCAAGGTACTTGTAATTTTATTCATTTACAATTTTATATGTATCGTCTTTCATAGAGAAGAAAAAAACGGGGATTGTCACATGTGCGTTTAATTATATTTTTACGTGCACAAATTTGCGATTCAAAAACTTTAAATAAAATTATATGTGCTGAAATCACAGACGACTTGAAGAATCCAGTACTTTTTAACATAATAAAGCGATTTTAAGTTCATGGGCCTTGTAGAAAACAAAATAGAAATTCACCCTGCAAGGATCCTGATATGGGTCAATTAAATATATTGCTAACAATTCGACGATCGTAGCATATAATCTTTATTTGAGTACAAAATTTAAAGGTCATATTGACTGTGCAATAATAGGTATTATATTATTATTATAACACCATAATGTTGAAATAGTAATACAGTAACGATTTCAAAAATAACATTATTAATTTTGTGAGATCAAAATTCCAATAAATTTTCGTCAAATAAAAATAAATTTTTAATTTATCATAAAAAATTACAGATACCACGCGCGTTTCTTTTAGCTAGTTATTATTATAATTGAAAAGTGCTACAAAAATCAAAATCATTTCATCATTACGGGGGGGAAACAATTTCCAAGTTTAGATATACTTAAAATTGGATTATCAATATCTAAATCCTTATTTCCACAATTATTCTCATCATCATTATCATACTCATTATTGTTAAAATTAAAAAAGTGATACAAAATTCAAAACCATTTTACCATAATGAAAGGAAAAATCCTAACTTTAAAAAATCAAAATCCCAATTCTATATCGTCAATTGTTTAATAAATAAATTCAAAAAATATTTCAAAAAAATATTTTTTTCAAATAAATTCTATATTCATTTTATTTATAGCATAATTCTCTATCCTTGCAATATTTATTATAAGGACTATGTGGATCAGAATTTATGTGTGCATACACACGCATAAAATTGTGATTTACTGTTGTATAGTTTTACTTTTTTTTTTTTTTTTTTTGATGTACACTTTATTTTTCCTACATATAAAGATGACTTGCACATCACTTTCAATTCTAAGTTGATTTTCACTTCTTCTATAACGATAAATGACTCTCGTTTAGAATTAAATATAGATATATAACTTTTAATTATGAGAATTCCTTTCTCCGTGCGGCTCGTTTCTTGTTTTGTTTAGGGGCACTGTTATTTCTTTTTTTTTTTTTTCTCTGCATCTCTGTAATGTAATATTTGACTATATAAAATATATTCACACACTTTGATTTGCGTTATACCGTTACAGTTACATGAAAATAGAGACGCGAGTTGAATTTGCGCACGTTCCGAGTTAGGAAGCCGCCTCGTAATCTTTGGAAAGCGCCTGACTCGATTGAACGTGGGTCACGCGGGTTTCCTCCGCGCGATAGACAACGGACAATAATTTACGGCCCCAACTCAGTATATACTCGCCTTAGTTCTCCTATATACAATCTCATATCCAGTACATGTAAGATAATTTTCAATGTGTGTAATATATATATATATTTATACCTGTCTCACAGTATGATTGTCGGCGAAAAGTCCCCTTAATATAGAAATAGATCATTTTGAATAGGCATAGGGAATTGTTATATCGGATTTATTGATTTATCGATATAACAATCTCAGGATGCATAGATAGAGACTTTAGAGAAAATTAATCTATCTTGAATGGACAAGAGAGCAAGAAAATTCTCTTGTGAAATGATCAATATATTATTTTCAATCATTTCTTTCCTAACTTTGAAAGAAAAAAGGACTTGATATGCACCTTTGAGTTCTCGATACATATAGAATTTAATGTGTTTTTGTGCGTATTTTCCACTTAGTATAGTGTGTATTTATATCCACATCAGAAACCAAGGTCTAAGGTGGTTTTCTTTTTTTCTGTTCATTATTATTTATGCAACAAACATAAGCATTACAATTATAACTATATGGACAAACTTTTAAGCATTAGTTCTTTGTAAATATCTCCTACAGCACTGAAATTTTTCTAAAGATTTCCTAAAGATTTATTTGAAATGTTCGCGAATATTTTCGCCTAATTATAATTAGGCAAAAATTTCATTTAAATGTTCAGGAAAGTTTCACACTAAACATTTATTCAAGTGGGACATTTAAATCTTTACACAATTTCCACTAAATATTGCAATTAAATATTCCGAACATTTTAAATAAATTAAAGTTGTTAAAATTAATCAATCTTCCAAGTCAATTGTAATATTTGCAAAAAGCGATTATATTTTACTTATGAGATTGAAAATAATAATTCTATTAATTTCCCTGATGTATTAGTTATAAAACAGAACAATATTTTAATTACTGACTGGTTTACAAAACCTACTTTTTCTGGATGATTTTTAAATTTTCATTCTCAACACCCGATTTCTCAAAAAATTGCTATTGTTTATAATTTGATAGACAGAGTTATTAAGTTGTCAAATGTTAAATTTCATCAGAAAAATATTGATATTGTTGCATAATGGTTATCCTTCGAATTTTATTGAAAAACATATAAAAAAACGTGTTCATATTATAAATCAAAATCAACGACTTCCTAATAAAGAAACATATTATTGTAAAGTTAAAAAGATTGTTTTACCATATTCAGAAGAGATTTTTTACAAATCATCAAATTTACTATCCGAATCCAACACTTTAACAATTTCAAAAATGAATCAGAATAATAATTACGTAAAGAAAGGCAAAGACATTACAAATAAAAATCAAAAAACAAACTGTGTTTATAAAATTAAATGTAAGGATTGCTCTGCGAGCTATGTGGGTGAATCAAGGAGAATGCTTGGTGTGAGAATTAATGAACATAAAAAATCAAAAACAAATATTATTGCGACACATAAACAAGATTTTAAGCACGATTTGGATTGGTATGGTTGTTCAATTCTCGACAATAAACAAAATTGGCGAAAAAGAGTCATCTCTGAAATGATACATATAGAGCTACAAAAGAAACCTCTTAACAAAAAGGATGATATTAAAAATTTGAACAAAAACCATATAAACTTCTTTTCTAATTATAAATTCAAATAATAGAGTTTATTAATTTACTTTTCATAGATGAGTTTCTATCAATACAATTATACTTGAAACATCATAATCTGTATACAACTACGACGAGTTCAATGACCTAAGAATGTACACTACCTTTTCGTTTGTCAAATCCGTATTATATGAAAAATTGTTTGTGATTAGTTTGTCAGTGAACACTGAACAGAAGTCACAGACTTTTTTTCGATAATATTCAAAATTTTTAAATTAATTAACTATAGTAATTGTAAATTATTGTTATTTTAATATTTTTTAATAAAAAACAATTTTTTTAGTTTCTGATGAGGACAGCTGTGCTGTCGAAACGTTAAGAAAAGGGATCGTTTTTTATTTTTTATTTTCCTTTTTTCAACTATCACAATTGACTTGGAAGATTGATAAATTTTAACAACTTTAATATACATTCACCAAGTGATAAATTCAATATTATTGAAATTTTAAATAAATCTTTAGGAAATCTTTAGGAATGTTTCGGTGCTGTGGGGGATTTTTTCAAAAGCAACAATTTTTCTTCGCAATTAATAGAGAATTTTTTTTATTTTTACCCAACAAAATTCAATAACTAAAACTTACATTCAGTTTTGATTTGTAATTAATTAGAGTTGATTGAACAATTTCGAAATAATAATAGTAATTGAAAAATTTTAATACAATGGTTTTTAGAGTTAAGTCGAAAAATATTTAATTCAACAAGTTTTGGATTAAACTTTCCTTAAATCATAGTATATATTTATGAGGAATTTATAGAAATGTTTGCAGATTAAACTCATACCGTAAGAGATTATATTATAATCCAAAATTTCCAAAAGTTTCCCGAATTGTTAATAAAGTTCAAATTGTACACTTTCTCGTTTTTTGCTCGGAGCAATAAAAAACAAAAAAAATGTCGACGATGTGTTGTAAAAGTATATTTTTGTTAGTTTTATATTGACAGAATCCAAATTTAAACGCCCGAGGCGATCGTCACAAAAGGGCCATTTGGTGTCGATCCGTGACAATGCTTACAAAGATCCGAATAACAAAAATTAGTGTACCGCGACAAACGGTCATTTACATTGGTTCTTATGCATGAAACCTGGAAATATTGACAATTAAAACATTGGGTAAAAATTTAAAACCGTAGCAAAAAAAAAAACATGAAAGTCAACATATTTTTTAAAAAAGAAATAATAAATGTAAAAAAAAAGAAGTGACAGTAGAGTCTTTAGTATATAGTAGAAGAGCGAAAAATTTTGAAAGTTATCAGTTATCCAACGTTATCAGTTGTTAATTTCTGTTCCACTTATTGGCCCTTTGGCTCACAACAATTTTTTGTTTCCTACCCTAAAAAAATGAACCAAAAATTACATTGTTGTTTAAACAAGAAAAATATTAATTAATTGAAATTTTTTGTTTCAGCAACTAAACGATTAGAGTTTACCTTGAATGACACAATATTCTAAAAGAAAATAATGACATCAATTTTATGTCAATCGATTAAATTGATATAATTGAATCATTTCTTTAATGTGGTCTTTTATAGAGATTGAGAAATAAATCCCCTAATGAAATGAAAATGATAGAAAGCAATAAATATTGAAGTTTAGTTATCATGGATCTACTTAGTATTTTTTACGTTTGTGCCACGGCGTGCGGTGAGTGTATGTATATATATATACATTACAAGTAAGTCAGAACCAGCCGAGAATACGGAAATGATGGGAAGCTCTCGCGGCACTACTACTCGATGCTATAGCCATGGCTCTAGAGTGTACTCCACCCATTACGTAAGATACTTTCCAGAGCTAAGTCATCGAATGTATATATGGTACGCTGGCCAGAGAAAATGCATTTTATCGATCATTTTTGTATTTATAATTTAAAAAAATAAATTCCCTCACTTTTTTTACATTTATTTCATATTTTATTATTATTATTATTATTGTCATTATTATTATTAAAACCATCATCTCGTAATCCACTCTTAAAAAATTCGTTCAAAAAAATTTTTTTCTGAAAAATATTTAAATCGTCGTACGTTATGTAAAAAATTGAGGCGAAAGAATCTGTTTTGTATGCTCGCGTACATTTTATTATCGAATTACTTGCTCAACAGCACAACAAGCTCGGAAGTAGATGAAAAAAAAAAAAACTGTCAACCCCTTTCATTTCCAGTTTGATTCATCTGATTTTTTTTTCATCATGACGATACAAATTGCCTTGACTACTGTTCTTTATCAGTATTTTTTTTTTTTTTAATACTCGTTGACTAATATGAAAATAAACTTGATTCAACCAAATAGTATGTGGCTGTGAAAAAAATAATTTGACGGAAATAAAAAAAAAAAAATTGTTAACGTCAATGCTTTAATAGTGAGAAAATAATTAAAAGAATTTGTTTTCAAGAATTAAAAGTGAAGTTATGTCTAACACAATTCCTTTTTAGTGGGAAAATTAAATTTTTTTTAAATTTTATATTTCATTTTTTTTTGTTTCCGTCATTTAATTTTTGCACAAAATTTTTCATACTAGATGATGAATAAATTATTTAATGTTGGACATTTTTGTCAATTCTGATAATAATAATAATAACCCTCACAGCACCAGATATACTAGGATATTCCAAAAACATCCCTTGGATATCCTAGGGATATCCTAAGGATACTTTAAGGATATCCAAAGTAGCGTCGGTTAGGATATCCCAGGGATATCTAAGGATGTCCCAGGAATATCCTAATCATTTCCCCGGATATTATTAGGATATCCCAAGGATATACCTGGAATAATTAGGGTTGTCCTTAGGACGTCCAAAGGATATCCACTGTATGTATATATTATCTTAAGGGTTAGAATATCCTTGAGTCGTTCTAAAAAATTCACTGAACAAGATCATGCCAGAATAGTATATTGTGCATCTAGGGAGGAAAAGATGATTGACAATCACGGGAAACCTATTTGTATCAAAAAATCGCTATCTCAAATAGTCAAAAATTTGAATCATAATGATATCCTAGGGAGATCTTAGCGATATTTCTACAATATTTTAACGATATACCAAGTTTATCCCACAATATCCCCACGATATCACTAGGATATCCCTGGAATATCCCAGGGATATCCCTAGAATATCCTCAGGATATCCCTAAAATATCCTAAGGATATCCCAGAATATCCTCAGTAGATCCCCAGGATATCCCAAAAATATCCTACGTAACGGCGGTTTGGATGTTCTGAAGATATCCTCAGGATATCCTAGGATGTCCTATGGACGTTTTCAGGATATCCTACATTAGTTTAGGATATCCTGAGGATAT